GCTGTTTGAAAGCCTTAGTATTTCGCATGCTCGAGCATAGTAAGTATAATAAATAAGAATATTTCTAAAATCATATATTCATTAATTAATTTGCTAACAAATTATCAATTAATATTTATCTATACAACTTAATCTTTCATTCAATTTTCCATTCAAAAGAAAAGCTGCAAATTATAATATCCCTTATCGAAATCATTTACTTTGTATTTATTTAACTATCACTCTGTGAATAAAATTGAATACATTGTTTTTGTGAGTTAACTCCTAGTTAGAAATATAATCGATCAAAGTACAAGCACCGCTGTCTGCTGCAGTACAAACTGCGCTAAAAGTTATAGTGGGACATATAAATTTTCATCAATTTTATTGGTTTACCCAATTAAGATAGGAAGAGGTTATCTTCTTCAAACTGTTTTGAATTTACTCGTGTATAAACTTAAATATTTTCAAGACATTTGTTTATTTTTCGAAACGAAATCCTCTTATAACGAACTTTTGAAAGTTGAGTTTGTGAGTTCTAAAATGTGAATTTCTGAACGACTAACATTTTTATACTGATAGGAAACTTTCTATGAGTACATTATCTCTGTGTGAAATAAACTTCTTTTTAACCCTTTCTATTGTGGTTTCCGAAGAATTTTTATATTAAGGCAGTCAGTTTTTGTAGTATGAAGAAGTGGAGGTGGATTGTTCTTAATTAATTATCTATACTATAATAAAACTGTAGAGTCGAATTTCTGTACATAGAAAGAAATGCTAAAAACCGAGTCAGGGGGATAAGAAGAGTAATAAAACAAATCCAGTTTTTTTATATATTTTTTGATTCTCTTTCTGTTTGTACGGACTAATTTCCGAAACTATTGGACCAATTTAAATGAAATGTTGCATGGTACTTTATATCCGGTCAACATTTTAGATACTTTTCATCCCGGAAAATTAAAGAGTTCCCGTGGGATAGTTAAAAAACTATAAGTAGTGACTTACACATCTTAGTACACAAAAACTACCGATTGGATTTTAATGAAACTTTACAATAACTAGCAACTTTGTATCTCGGAAAAATGTACGGTTCCCGTGGGATAAATTTGTTTTTGTTTGTCTAGAGGCGAACCCGAGCGAAGCGAGAGTGAGACGCTAGTTATGAATAATTGTATACTATGAGGCAATATAAGATATGTTCAATTGACATTGCGTACAGTGTTGAAAGTCGCTTTAAGAACCCTGTGAATAATTATGTCAATTACATATGTAAATGATTAATAATAATAATAATAATAATAAGTTCTTTATTTCCAAAAGGTAGTAAGTACATCCAGATATTCGCTTAACACTAACTAAATCTAATTTGGTACATACAAATATTTAAAACATAGCATCTGCAGCCGAACTAGGAGACCTGTGCATCAGCTGTCAGCGCCATATCCCCACGGTTAGGTGACATAAATATTACCAAAAAAATAAAGAATTACATATCAACTAAAGATATTAATTAATATTACTAAATATGTCATTCCTCTCTCTTAAGATGTGTAATGCATGACTGTAAGAAGTATTTGTGTAATGAGTGTAATGTGTGTGAGCAATTAAAGTAGAGGAGTGTGTAATGTGTGTCTGTGTATGTGTGTGTGTGTGTGTGTGTGTGTATGCGCGTGTGTGTGCCTGGGTATTATTATTTTACATAGGCAATATTGCAGGATCAAGTTATATAATAAATATTATGATCAGATATGAATACTAAGAAGGTTTTCAGTTTCAATGTAAGTTAATTTTTGCAGGTAATCAAATACAGTTTTTTTACAGTCTATTTTATTAAGGTAGTAAATGTCTAATGTTTTATTTAGTTTATTATATAAGTGTGGTCCTAAAAATGCAAAGAATCTTCTTATAAAAGTTGTTTTAAAATTAGTTGTATCTACAGAAAATTTTCTGCGTTTATTTAAGTTCGTTGGGTCATATAGCAGTAGACTATGTTGTTTCTGAATGATCGTTAATATAAACAGTTGTCTTACCGTAAGGACCTTACAGTTATTATAGAGTTGTGATGTAGGATATAGAAAAGGTTTAAATGTTGCTACTTTAAGAATTGCACGTTGAGCGATTTCGATCTTAAGTAATACGGTTTTAGAAGCACCGCCCCACGTTGATATGCAGTACGTTATAATAGACTGACATAAAGCTAAGTAAACTCGTTTTAATATATCCGGATCCAATACGTGTCTAATGGTTTTAAAAATATATATTAATTTATGAGTTCTTCTGCTAAGTGTGTCAATATGTTGTTTAAAATTTAAATTCTGATCTATTATGACCCCTAAATATTTAATATAATCAACAGATTCAAGTGATAGACAGGAACAGCTATTGTCCTTAGTTAAACAATTATATGAATGAATTATTAAGTTAAAATTTTCAAGGTTTCGAATAGGTTTTCTTAATGAAAAAGCTATATATTTTGTTTTCCTAATATTGAGTGAAAGTTTATTACTGTATAGCCAATTAGTAATTGCATTTATACCTATCTGTGCAGATGAGAAAACATCTGCCCACGTATCCGCAGCAAATATCAAAGCAGTATCATCTGCATATGATATTATATGTCCCTGAGAGAGATCAAATTTTGTTAGATGATCAATATAAATAAGAAATAAAGTTGGTCCGAGTATACTCCCTTGGGGCACGCCATGTGTTACTAATAAGTCGTTGCTATTAATATTATTGACACCAACGCATTGATATCTCTCAGAGAGATAGCTTTTGAATAATTTGAGTTGAGTGCCTCTAATACCGAAGTTTTCTAGTCGTTTTAATAGTATTTTTATTGACACGGTATCGAATGCTTTAGCCAAATCTAAGAAAACTGATATACATTTTTTTCCACTGTCTAAATAAGATGATATAAAACTTGTCAAAGTATGAACGGCATGCTCTGTTGATTTGCCATGCCTAAAACCAAACTGTGTATTCGACAATAAATTATTTCGCTCCAAATAGTTTGTAAGTCTATTATTGATAATTTTCTCCAATATTTTTGACAAAGCTGGTAGAATAGAGATAGGTCTATAATTGCTTATACAAGCCTTATCACCCTCTTTAAAAATAGGCCGAATTACGGACTTTTTAAGATATCTAGGGAATACACCATAATTTAGACATTGATTAAATATATAGGTTAAAGGTGGTATTAACAAATATTTAAAATCTTTAATAAATTTATTTGAGATTCCATCCCAACCAACTGAACAGTCTGTTTTCAAATTGTCAATTAATTGTGCTATTTCACTTTCATCTGTGTCCAATAATGCAAATGAGTTTAAATAACAATTTGATTGTTCACCGATGCTAATATTAAAACTATCACTGTTATTATTTCCTACATTGAAACTCTCTGCCAAGCTTTTACCTACATTTACGAAATAATCATTAATTAGATTAACAGACAGTTGTGGCGTGTTGGATATATTCAAAAGTTCTTTATTATACCCTTTGTTTTTAATGTTACCTATGATATCGGTAAGTACGTCCCATAGCTTTTTATTATTATTTTTAGCCATATTAACTCGCTCTTTTTCATAATTTCTTTTTACCCTTTTAAGCAGTGCGTTGCAGTGATTACGATATCGCCGGTATATGATTTGATCACTTCCATTGTCTGGAAAACGTCTGGCCCTCTTGTGTAGCTTATCACGGTGACGAATACATCTAAGAAGACCAGTCGTAATCCAGGGTTTGATGATCTTTTTTTGTCTTGGCAACTTTATTAATTTAGTATTAACTTCAATCACTATTTTTATTTTATCAACTAAGTATTCAAGAGAAGTATTAGGATCTTTAGCATCATATATGGGTGAAATATCAATGTTTTGCATATCTGATCTAAGTTTCTTGTAATCAATTTTTCTGATAGTAGTTGTAAAGAACTGTTGACGTTGTTTATTTTTGATACATAAAATTACAGGTTTGTGATCAGTAATTGAAGTTTGAGGAACTATAGTAAGAGAAGGATTATTCGATTTTAGCAGAACATGGTCAATACACGAGCCGCTTGCGTCACGTGTTACTATAGTATGAGTAGGTAATAACCCATGGAATGCTGTCAGTTGTAAATACTTATCAGAATTAATGTCTATTTTATCACTGTTAATGTTAATATTTATATCTCCTATAATAATTATGTTTTTATGTTTCGAATATTTCTGCAGGACACTATCCAAGAAGACAAAAAAGTTTTCTAAGTTTTTATATGACGGTGACCTATATATTGAGATTATAACTATATCATTCAGTGTTGTTATCATGCAATTTCCTTCTAGAAAATGAGGTTCCTCAGTTGTGAACAAATGTTTTTCTTTTACATATATTACCAATCCGTCATTTTGGTTGTTATTATAAATAGTGGAGCTTAAGTTATAACCATTAATTTTAGGTAAGTTATTTTTATCAAGCAGCCAGCATTCACTTAGTACAATGACATCAAAATCTATTTTTAATCTAGTAAGCAATACTTCAAAATCTGTCATATTGCAGTTAATACTTCGTATATTCTGCGTGATAATTGTGAAGTTCAATTCACTACATGTAAAATACCTATAACACTCTTCAACGTCACAGACTATCGATTTCGATATCGTAACTTTATCTAAGTCAATGGTGAAGCTTTGAGCGTTATCGAATTTTATTTATTGGTTTAAATTTCTCTAAAAAATTCTCTTTACTAATCAAATAATATTAGATAAATTGATTGATATGATATATGAATGTAAGTTATATATATGAAATGAGCGAATATGATTTAATATAATATACAGGTGTGGTTTTAAAGATGAATGGGTGCGCTGTAAGTTAATGAAAGTATGTGTATGTAATGTTTGTATATTAATTATGTGCTCTGTGTAAATTGTGATTATGTGTATTACAGGGTATAGGGTTAGGATATACTTTATTTTTATTATGCTACTTAATAATAGAAGGGATGCAAAAATATCTAATCTTAATACTAGTCATTCGGTCTTCCGAAGATTTTCTAAATCCTTTTCGTTATTTATTCTAATTTGAGACGAACTTTCATTTTTGCGTAAATATACAATGCCTCTAGATGTCCAGCAGAATAAATAGTTATGACTTTTTTGGAAAAGTCTAGCCTGATAGAAAAGTTTCTGAGTGTTTTGTGTTAGTGTCTCCGTGACGTATATAGGTATATTTTTTTGTGAGTAATTTAGATGCGAGGTATTTAATTTCTCACTTTTTGGTTTTGTTTTATTAAATCTTTTAACTTCATTTAACATCTTTTCCTTAATGATAACTGAATTAAATTCCACTATTACCGGCCTAGTCCCTGTCTTAGAGTTAATTCTATACACGTCTTTTATATCCGAATCCCGCAGATTTACTTTTAAACACTCCCCTAATTTTTTTACTGTACTACATAGATTTTCTTTTGTCTCTTCATTGTTTTTAGGAATGTTTCTTATTTCTATTCCTGAAAATCTAGACTTTCGTTCCATATTTTCGATTTTTTCTTGTAGTTGTTGTATAATATATCTATCCTGCTTTTTCTCCGCCTCGAGAACGGATATCCGTGACAGAAACTCATCATATTTGCTTGACATTGTATCAACGCTTTTTTTTAATTCATCATTCTGTTCTTTTATACTAGAAACTATAGTTTGTAAGTCTTTAAAAAGCTTCGCTTGTTCATTCGTATGAGCTGAAAACATTTCACTCATATATGACATGATATTAGGATTCACTCCGTCATGTTTCCTTTTTTTACGCTCGGTAACATTTAGCGTAAGTGATGGAATATCAGGCGCAGATTCACAGTGATGTATCTTCGTCCGTTCTATCGCGTCAATCGCGCGCGTCTGCGCTGCATCATCGGAGCTCATAGGCACGGGCGACGAGGGCGGCGGAGTGCGGTTGATCGGCATTGTATAACCGGTTTGAGAATACCAGGGCAATATGAGTTAGGAGTGTGATCGCAATGGATTTGCGGACTCGTACCCGTAGACGTAATGTAACTGTACAAGTAAAAATATAACCGTCTCTTTTCTTAACGGGTTGCAACGTGTGGTGTCTTATGATATGTCCTATTTTATTTTTAAATTGTAAATGTGATTGTTCCACTCACACGTATAGTTTAGTTCGTTGAGTAGCCACTGCCGCAGATGTCGTTAGCACTTCGTAGACTTCCTCGAGCTTTATGCACTCCTATTATTTTAACATTATTTATCCCAACATTTATCCGAAAATACAAGTAATAAAGTAAACTATAAACACGTCTTTACTGTTTGAAAGTCCGGGGGAAAGGGGGATTATCCTATTTTTGCTGACACAGTAGCGAAAAGCAAATAAGGAATGCTTTTTATTTATCATATTTTATATATTCTATTCCACAAACAAAACAGCATAAGCAAATTGGCTAAGTATTCAATCTGTTTAAATTAAGCACTATGTGGGCGTATGTACAGTTTAGTGCAGACGTCATAGCTTTATCTCTGCATTCTATGCATGTTGTTCATTATGATACATCAAGAATGTCTTGCTTTGTGTCGGCGCCCTTTAGATATGTATAGAATGTACGTTCACTTAAAAGATAAAACCGAAAGTGATATACTAAATTTGAAACAAAAAAAAATAATCAAATTAAATAATTTCATATTATTACGATTGTTTTAAAGCATTTTTATATATTGGACCTAAATAAAAACAAAATACTGAATTGTAAGATCGGTCACAATATCTAATTTAATTTTCGACTAAGTTTGGTTCAGAAACTAAAGTTCTAGGTTACAATGTGAATGACAAATATTAGTACTAGCGATTATATAGATGGAAACAAATCTAAACCACTGGAACTGTACATTTTTCCGGGATGATATATGTATATAATAATAGTCTTCCCCAATAAACGAATTATCTAATGCAAAAAGAATTTTTCAAATCGGATTCTGAGATTAGCGCGTTCAATCAAACTCTGACTCTATATAATCTTAAGTATAGATTGTGATTCTACACAGTATCTTTTCTTTTTTTTATTCAAATTCAATTCAATTAAATTACTGCTGCAAGTAAGTACTAAGTAGCAACATGCTGAGTGTCGACAGCTTCTGTTCTTTTAAATAAACGTTGTAAATCTTTAAGTTCAAATAACTCAAGGGCAAATGCACAATAAGGATTTAATCCATACTTAATATTATAAATGTAAAAGTATGTTTGTTTGTGTGTTTGTTTGTCTTTCTTTCATGTCGAAACGGAGTAACGGATTGGCGTGATTTTTGGTGTGAAGATAGTTGAAGAGATGATCTTATTTCCTCGGGAAAAAAACGATACAACCCAAAAACATATATATGATCAGAATTACTTGAAACGTGGTATTAATTCTGTTCAATACAATTAAATAAACACGTGTTTTAGCTTTTTTCGAAATTCATCTTATAAGAGGGTATAAAATAAGGGATAAAAGTTTGTATGAAACCTATTTTTTTTATATAGATTTTTTTTAGTTTTAGCGAAAGCGAAACCGCGGGTTCTGCTAGTTATTATAATAAATAAGCCAAGGACGACAATAGTTTCCCATTTAGTCAAATTACCGTATTACTAGTTTATGTCGTTCGTCACTCGACCGACAGCGAAGAAATAAATTTTCATTACAGTAACAGTTTTAACCCCACTCATTGAATTGACTTTTATTTCTAAGTGAAAGTAGTTTTTTTTTCATTCATGTTTTATTCTTGGTTTTAAGATAGATGAGGCTGCATTTTTTTACTAACCATTTCCGTGGTTTCGTTTCTCACATTTATTCTATAATATTTTTCTCTAAAATTAACTTTGGAAATATTTATTAGACTTTATTAACCACATAATCAAAGAAATTACTCTCGTAGTGTTAGCATCGAAGTATAATGGAAGGCTGTGAAGATCGTACTTAATTTGCAGTTTATAGAATACTACCTTGCTTCTCCATACAAACTTTCATCCCTATTTTCACCTTCTTAAGGGATGATTTCCGAGATAAAAAGTATCCTATATCCTTTCCACGGTTTCAAACTATTTTCTTACCAAATTTCATTTAAATCGGTTCAGTAGATCCAGAGGTTTCCCTCTACAACCTCACAAACGAACAAACTTTACCTCTTCATAATATTAGTATAGATACATAAAATATACTGTGAAAACTTCAAGTATTAAAAAATATAAAGAAAGCTTGTATGAACATAAAAAGAATTTATGACTATATAAATAAATGTTAAGATGAATAGGGACTACACTACTTGGTTTATATTAGCCCCTTCGCTCTCTTTACTGTAGTCCTTTCAATGCTCCATAAGTAGATCACTCCATAAGTAGATAAGTAGATAAGTAGATCGCCAGATTTTGGCGTAGGGAAGTGACGACCCCACCGCCCGCTGATAGGTTACACTACCAGTGCAGTCAGTCTATGGTTGATCCGCCATGCCTTTGCACAAGACCACTTCGGTGTAGGTGGGCGAGCACTGTCCGTAGCAAACGCACCCGGTTTCTACAGCGATGTGGCAAGGCACAGGGGAAGTGCCTCAAAGGGCGCACGCCAGGATTCGTACAGTGGCGTATGGCCAATCCCCTGCAACCTCTGCTTTCAGCCGGTCGTATCGGCCATCCGGTCCACCGGCACTGGGAGGCCGAGGTCGAGAGAGTGGATCCGCACCTGCGCAACTGCCTATCCACTTAAATATATTCACGCGCAGATGACTCCTGCATGTTACCTGGTCTTCGAGCGCAAGCCCTGCGGCGATGGAGAGCCGATGGTGGGGGGAGGATCGGTGAGTCCAAACCTTAATTGGCATCTGCACGTAGGCGGTTGTCTGGTGATGGTCGTTCTGGGTCCCGATCGAGGCGGGGGACCGGTTCGGCAGCTCAGACGATGACAAAGCAGCCCTATTCAGGGAGCGCTCTGCTTTCCCCAATCCGGGGAGGGGCCTAGAAAAGGTGGCCCAAAAATAGCCCGTCTCATCCTCAAAGCAGATGGCAAACCGCGGTCATCTGTTCACCATCTTAATGCGGTCGAAAAATGAAACTTAAACAAAAAATAAAAGATCTTATAATAGGAACGTGGAACGTTCGTACTTTATTAGACAATGACGTAAACTTATGTCCGGAGAGAAAGACGGCTCTAATCGCGAGAGAATTGGCCAAATACAACATAGATATAGCCGCAATAAGCGAAACCCATCTTAGTGACTCGGGAGAGCTTTGCGAACAACTGGGAGGCTACACCTATTACTGGAGCGGGAAGCCAAGTACTGAGAGAGCAGCTAGTGGAGTCGGGTTTGCCGTAAAGAATCAGCTGGCAAAAACACTCAAAGAACTACCGAAAGGCATAAATGACAGAATAATAACACTTAGACTTCAGTTGTCATCAAAGAAGTACCTACATCTCATAAGTATATATGCCCCCACACTACCCTCTCCAGAAGAAGAAAAAATCAAATTCTACAGCGAGCTGAATCAAGTCCTGACTAAGATACCATCCACAGATAAGATAATTTTGTTCGGAGACTTTAACGCACGAGTTGGTAACGATTTCAGTGCTTGGAGTGGAGTTCTTGGTCGTCACGGTGTTGGTAAATGCAACGCCAATGGCCTCGATCTTCTCACTCTCTGTGCCGAATTTGATCTTACAATTACTAACACCTGTTATCGATTGCCAGAAAAGCTTAAGTCCACGTGGATGCATGCAAGATCTAAGCACTGGCACCTCTTAGACTATGTGATAGTACGCAAGAGAGACCTCAGTGAAGTACTTATCACTCGAGTAATGAGGGGTGCTCAGGGCTGGACCGATCATCGGCTAGTCCGATCAAAACTACGGTTCTACTTAAAAGCACCACGTCGAGCATCTCACAAGATCCCGGAAAAATACACTGTGAAAAGCTTCTTCTCAACTCACATTTAAGTCAAGAGCTAGATGATGCATTCTGCACCAGTATGCCAGAGACAAAAGAGGGTATGTCTATTGATGAGGAGTGGCGTTTATACGCTGAGAACCTTCACGCCTGTGCCTCTCGAGTTATTGGGAAACCGGAAAAGAAAAATCAAGATTGGTTTGATGATTCCGAAGTGGAAATCAAGAAGCTCGTTGAGGACCACAGACGTACCCTTCTTTCGTCAGACGTCTCTGAGCGGAGAACTGCTAATCATAGCCTAAAAGTAAAAGTGCGTGCTCTCAAAGATAAATGGTGGGTAGACAAAGCCAATGAAATCCAACGTTATGCTGATACCAATCAGACTGGTAGATTTTTTGAGAGTCTCAAAGCTATTTTCGGCCCAAGATCTAAGAAAGTAGCTCCAATTTTCAACAGGGACAAGACTCAACGGCTTACTGAACAGAAAGATGTTCTTGCCCGATGGGCAGAACATTTTAATGACGTTCTTAACCCTAGTGCACAGACAGCTGACTTGTTGTTTATAGATTCCCTCGAAAGTTTACCGGTACTTGAAGACTTGGCAGAACCACCATCCTTTGATGACTTTATGAAGGCACTGGATAGGCTGAGAAATCACAAGGCACCTGGGGTAGATGGTTTACCGTCTGAATTATACAAATACAGCAGCCCTCACGTCAAAAACAGGTTATTCCAACTTATCCTGAAAATATGGGAGAGTGAAGTAGTTCCGCAGGATTGTAGAAATGCCTCCATCTGTAAATTGTACAAAGGCAAAGGCGACATCGCTGATTGCAGCTCGTACAGAGGTATCTCTCTTCTCTCAGTAGCTGGGAAAATCTTATCCCATATTATAAACGCCCGTCTATCCCAACACGCAGAAACCATACTTTCCGAGACCCAGTGTGGTTTCCGGCCAGGACGAGGTACAGTAGATGCTATCTTTGTCGTAAGGCAAATCCAAGAAAAGAGCCTGGAACAATACCGTCCTCTTTATATGTGCTTTG